CCCGCTGACTACTGGTACCTTATGAGGCTTGGGAAGACGTAAGGTGGTTCCCTAGCTCAGTTCTTTGGGGACCATCTGGAGAAGAACTTTGGGAAGGTGCTTCAGCCTTCCCATTCTGAAGCAAAATGGAACCCCAGTTTCCACAGGGTGCTGAGGGATGGCTGGGGAGATGAGAATGGTGATGCCTCTCAGATCCTCCTTGGAGCTCAGCCTCAGTGGTGGCTTACGACAGGTACTTCTACTGTCTAAGGCAGGGACCCAAGGTCTGGGATGAGCCACAGCCAGGTAAGGTGAATGTGTGACAGGCAGTAAGGAAGGCTGGGGACAGGGTAGAATGAGCACAGAGTTTCATCACTAAATATGAGGCAGTAAACTGAAGCCTGAGGTGAGAGAGTACTGGCCAGGCACACCTACACCTGGGGCCATGCTGTACCCAGAGCTGCCAGGCCCTTCCAGACCTGGAGATGTCTTACTGCCCTGGGGACCCTTTCCCAACCCTGCTGTCTGTCCCTAGCTCCAGATCCAAGTGGGACAATTGGTTTTGCAAAGGCTTGCCTGGCCCCTGACACCCCTGACATCTGTCTTTTTGCTCATCTCCATTCCCCTAGCTCCTGCCACATCCAAGACTTACTTAGCCACTCCTCCATTCTGCCAGGATGAGCCCTTGTGTCTGCTGCTTTCCCCACCCCCCACCCCCACACCACTACACACACACATACACACACACGCACCCTCCCCATCCAGATTCTCGTTCCTTGTGGTCCTTTGGCAGGCCTTGTATCATGGAGAGATAAAAATGCCCCTCCCAGCTGGTACTTCCCAGCAAGGAGATCTTAGAGCCCAGGCTGGTTCCCCTTCTTCCTCCCTGCACCCCAATACACCTTACCTCTTCCTTGGGGGGCCCCATCTGGAGCTTATCCCACATACCCCTGCTCTGGTTCAACAACCCCAGATATCCCAGCTCCCACCACCACTTAGAGCACTTGAACTCTGGTAGTTCCACCACTATGTCTCCCAGATATGTCATCTGATTCACACTGGCTCCCTTAACATGGGCACCAAATCTATCAGCCCAGACCCCCCCATTGTGACCCCTTTCTATCTATCCCCTGTCTCCTAGACTGAGCCCCTCCAGGGCTCCTGGAAGTTACTGCCCTGGCTGCTCCACCCCCACCCAGTGCTCTCCCCACATCCTTCCAGTAGACTTCCAGGCCTTGCACTGCCCTCTTGCTCCCTAGACCCCACATTGGTTCTACAGGCCACCCTTAGTTGCCATTTAATCTCAGCCCCACCCTACAGGAAACAGGAAGTTGGAACGGGTTTTAAAAGATACTGACACTAGAGCCTTTTAATCTGGACCTTGACTGGGACTCATTCATGCCTCAGTTTCCCTTCTCACAGTACCTGACTTAGTCCGTGCTTCCCCAGCGCTCTGGGCCCCTCGGTGCCCTAGGCCCAGCCTCCCGCTCCCGTCCATGCCTGGGCACACCTGCCCTGGGCCTAGGGAGAAGCCAGGCAGGGTCTCTGAGCAGAGCCCAGCCTCCGTCTGTGAGCCGCCTGCAACGTGGCTGGCTTCAGAGGAGTTTGCATTTGTCCCTCCCTCTCTATGCTGCTATGTGTGTTTCCCCTCTGCTCCCTCACAGAAGGCATCCTCCCTTCTTGGCTGCCTGCTCCCAGGGTTGTGACCCTGGGCTCCACCCTGGAGTGGCAGCCCCAGCCCAGCCCCTTCCAGCTGTGACTTCATCTGCAGCCTGTCCTGCTCCTGCACACTGGGCCTGCTGGTAGACAGGCCTCAGAGTGAAGGGGACAGCTAGTTTCCACACAAGGACCCTGTCAGCAGGAGTAGGGGACCACCAGTCTAGGCCCTGGGTATAGTCTCCAGGTAGCTAGCTGAGTTTTCTCTCTGGGAAATGAGCCTGCAGGCTGGCCTTGGGGCCTAGGCTGGCCTGTGCCTTCCCAGAATCCCTCAGGGCTATCTCTTCCATGCACTTGGACACATGTGGCCAATCAGCCTCACTTTTTCTGTTGACTTTCATCTTAATCTGTAAGTCTGTCCTAGAACATTATAGCTGCTCATTTTTCACATAAGGAAACTGAAGGTCAGGAGGTAACAGCACTAGCACAAGGGCACATAAAGAGTTAACAGCAGAGCCCAGGTCTCTGGCTTACAGGTCTCTGTGATCTTGCAACATCTCCCTCTATGAGGAGTGGGGCTTCTTGTAGGAAGGGCCCTGCTCCATCCCCTGCAGCCCTGACCTATCCATTTGGCATGGGTGCCCTCCTGTTCGCTTTTGTTTCAAGTAGGAACACATTATTCAGTCTTTGAGGATTTGGAGGGCGGTATGCTCTGGACCACACTTGTTTAGGGGTGACACTGTCAGTAGATGCTATGTGTTTTTGTGAAACATTTTAGACCTTCTGAAAACTGTCTGGACAGAATGTCTTCTGCTGAGGAGGTAAGGTGTGGAAGTGGTAGTTTGAAGCATGCGTGGACTTTGGCCTCATTCAAAAGCAGGCTGGAGGTTTGGGCTCTGCAAGGTACAGCTTGTGACTATGGGGAAGTAGCCTCCTCCTGGCCTCAGTCTCTTCATCTACAAAGTGGGAATGACAGCACCACATAGTGGGACTTGGGTTCGGCAGGGTTCCTGACACCCAGCAAGCCCCCTTTGTGTCAACGTGGGTCTTATGATTGTGAAACAGAGGTTCTTGTCCTACTTATAGATGAGGAAACTGGCACTCTCCAGAGCCAAGGACAACAATAGACAGAATAGGGGACATCTCTCACCCCACAGCTTCAGGAGCACACCAGAAAGATCAGGCAGGGTAGAAGGGAGCTGGTATGGCCCTGTGTTTTCTGTCCCTATGTCCCCCACCCCCACCCCCTCTGCCTAAGGCTTGAGCTGAGGACAGCTGCTGGCTGGACCTCACCACCCCCAGGAGCTGATTCAGCAGCAGACCCCAACTGAGAAGCTCAGCTCAGAGGGGCTTGAATCACCAGCCGCCCCCTGCAGAGCCCCTAGGGGAAGGACGCGGGGGTGGGGGCTAGCCCCTTGCCTGCCTGCCAGTCAGTCTCTTCCCTGGGCCCTGGGGCACTCAGGAGAGAGGGCCACATGGCAGTAGCCGCTGGCAGGGGTTTGGGAAGGTAGCCTGTCAGCCAAGCATCCTGTGTGGGCAGCCAGCAGCCGTTACTCAGCAGGTAAGCAGCTCTTTGGGCATCGGGAATTCCCCAAGACCAGTGACCCAGATACTGAGCAGCCCCCACAGCCAGGCCAACCCTGTCCTCCCAGTGCCTTGCCCCTCCCCAGGAGGACCTCAGTTCTTTGAAAACAGACAAGCCTTAGCTTGGAAGGTGAATGCAAAATTATCAGATGGGCTTGGGGAGGAAGCTAGGAGCTGAAGAATGCTTCCCAAAGCCAGAGCTGGTGACAGGTGATCAGAGGAGATGGGAGTTCAGGAATGCCTGGCACAGCCCTGGCAGTTGGTGCCCCAACCAAAAACTTCCAAAGGTGCCAGATTACCCGCAACTTGAGAAATGAGTGTGTCATTCCACCTGTGATCCTCATCCCCCACGCACTGTGGAACCATACAGACACCTTAAGCTGACAAATCAGCTTTGGGCCTAAGGGGTGGGCGGGCAGTGCTCACTGGTAGAGAGGATAGTGTGAGCTGTTTAGCATCCTAGAACCATACCCCAGCTGTGTGGCCTTGGGCAATGACTCCTCTCTCAGCCTCAGTTTCCCCTCTGAAAATGAGGATGTTGTATTCTGGCAGATGGGGCTCAAGCCACAGCCTGAGTTGTGAGCTTGGATCAGGCCTGGGGGCACAGGTCAGCTCAGTGTAGTCTGACAGTTAGGGCAGGGGTGATTTCAAGGCTTCTCAATCTGTGGGGGTTGGCATGGGTCCCTGGTGGTGGGCAGTCTTCCAGAATGTCCGCTAGACTGTCCGCCTCATGGTCCTGGAGAGCCCTGATGCTGGCCTGGAATCTG